TTTTGTGCATGCACATATAACTAGCACAGCATTTATTAGCTCTAAATATGAATAAAAATTTGAGTAATTTTTCTGTCATTAAATTCATACCAAAAACATTATATCTTTATTCATGTAGAGACTTGTAGTAAACACAACGTCAATTTTTCTATAATTTACCGTTCACTTCGTCATTTTGCGTGTGGGTATTCTCTAGTCGGCCATTGCCAAAGTTGAGCTCCTTTATTTGTTGTTCTTAGTCCTTCTACTCTTTAACCTGTCCAGTTACTTACGAGCTGGCTCTTGACTGCTTTGTTGCCTCAATGGCTTCTTTGGACCTTGCTGCTCACTTTATTTTGGGCCACGTTTCATTTGCTTATTTTATTGAGGCGATTATTCGTCGGACTTTAAGGTTGCCAAGTGTGCGACGTTAATTGCGAGCGCGTGTATAAAGCGCATTTGTTGTGCATTTTTAAGTAATAAAATAATTAAATTATTATTTATGGCTGCTGTCCACGCTCTCTATGTGCCCCCATTTAATGATGATTTGTTGGGCCAAGCCATGCAGACATATGCTGAACTATGACCTTACGTCTGCAGCCATAAATTCACACCCGCTGCGAGTGTCGGAGATATTTCTGCGCTCCATTTTCTACTATTTTATCTTATTTTATTCTCGTCCACCATTTGCAAAGGAGTATATTGGCTTTGTGCAATGCTCGCCTTCTATTTATAGACCCATAAATCGTGGAGCCACGCTGGCGTGGTATATTGGAAAATCTTAATCTTTGTTTTTAATTAAAGTTTTTCTTGGCCCAAGAACGAGTATCGGATAGTCGATTGCGCCCGTTCGTGTGGTTGTTTTTTACATTCCTCACTATCGATGCTCAGCATGAGCATTGAGAGAAAGGCAAAAAAGAATATAACATATATATATTCTCTGCGAAAAAAGAAATGTAGCTATAGTTATCTGACTTTAAAGCGCGTAAGAAAACATTCAGAGAAAGGGTTTTTAAATTATTTATGAAGAAAGTGTGTTTTTGCTTAAAGTATAAATTCTGAAATACTTTTTTGTAGAAATTTTATAAGTTTTTTCAGTCAAATAATGTTGCCTTGCCTACATGAATAAGTTTATTAATTCATAAATAATACCTGGATTAAAAATGTTGTTATGAATTCGGCAATATTATTTCAAAAGGGTTGCGTTACCAGAAAAAAATGGAGAGAACATATTTTTGATATATTAAATATTTTATATATATTTTTTAGTGCAGGGAAACATTAAATTCATTTTTATAGTTATCCAATGTTAAGAACTATTTGCTAACGATTTCCCCAGCAGCTTATGTAAAAAATGATATATTTTTAAATATATATGTTTATCTTTTTATTAAATTGTGTAATATATTTCACAACAGTCTAAAAAATTCCACAAAATATTTTAAATATTTATAAATAATGTAAGATCCAAAAGCTTCTTGAATTGCAAAATTTTGAAGTAAAATTATATTTAAAGACATTTCAAAAAAAAAAATTAAAAATATATATTAAATATTAAAAAAATGTATATATATTTTTACCTATTATTTATGGTATCAAATATTAATGTTTATATATATATATCAAAACTATTCTAGAAACAGAACAAAAGCCAGCAAAAAAGTATTTTTCCATGTTAGCCATATTCATTTGGCAATCGCATCACACAAAGTTCGCATTATTCTTCCTCAACCAACTGCAACCGCTGTCTTTTTGCGGCTAGAAACTATTTTATGGCACTGTCAGTTCATCTTTTGTGCAGTTGCAATTGGAGTTCTGGGCAGCCCCGAACCAGACCCCGGCTGCTTGACTCATTGGTGGAAAGTTTATGACTGACCGGACATGAAAATGTATGTGACTATCATATTGTTTACCCTGCGTCCAATGAAAATGAGAAAAAATGGGACACACGAATGTTGAAATAAATTTGTTTGTCTTTGTTCTGCAATATTAATGCTTAATTTGTCTCTAAATATTTCTACTACTAGATTATTATCGATAGATAACTATGGATTTTAGAGAAAATCTGAATAGGATAATCTCACAGGTCACAATTTTTTCACCTGGCCACAATTTGCTTCTACTCACTGGGCATCTCCTGGCCAGTCATTTGTGACTAAGGAACTATCCCTACTCATTGGGCGTTGTATTTGAATAGATTACACCCTGATGAGCCCAAACTAAAATATTATTTTACTGCCAGGCGCCGGCTGCAAGAAGTTTCACTCATAAAAATAGTTGCTGAAAGCCAATTTATTTATTTAGTACACGCAATTTGGAAATAAAACAGAACAGCAAATTGCCGCCAGGCCACAAAAAATGGTGAGAATATGAAAAATTGTTTGCCTACTCTTAAGTGAGATAAAATGTTGATAAATAATACAAAATGTTGAGTGTACAAAGAGCAACAGCAATGAAATTTTAGTCAACAATATTTTGATAAAATGTTTGCAAAACACAAATATGTGAAAGTTATAGTAAAAATTATTTAAAATATCAAAAAAGTTCATTATATTCCACTCTTAATTAAATACAATTTTCTGCCTGCTATTTACACTTTATTTTCAAATCCATTAGCCAAAGCTTAGGCCTCACATGAAAAAAATATAATTGAAAAAAAATCTATATAAAAAATTTAACAAATAATTTTGCGGTTAAGCGAATACCTTCATGTTTTATTAAAGATACTTAAACTTCGCTGTTGGCTGAAGATCAAGTCATAAAAAAATGTGTGGGCATTGATGATGTCAATATTAAATGAATTTGGTAGAAGTTTCTTCGAAATTTTCCATGCCTCCTTTAAGACTCTTTAAATATTACGCATACGCCACATTGTAAATAAATTGCCCAAATTATAGACACAAGCGCCAAGGCCTCTAAACAAAACGAAACAAAACTACAAAACAGAGAAGATGAAAAAAAAATGTATATATATATGAAAAGAAAAGGCCCTAAAATATTTTGAAGTGGCAACAGCTGAGGCATCAACGAGCAGGGCCGAGTGGCAACGCCTGCCGGCGACGGCATCTTAATAAATTTCCCAAGCAACACTTTGGCTGTTATTAATACTTGAGTGAATGGGTCGAAATGGTAGAGAATAGCGGAGCAGCACGGCGCAGCACGCACCTAAAAACCGCTAACCAAACACAGAGCAAGACGGGACATGCGAACGTGGTATGGCGACGCCGTAACGGTAGATGTTGCTTAATTACACGCCCTGCCCAACAGGGGGCGTGTGCATGTGTGCCTGACAGCCCGTGCGGCATGTGCGAGCGGCCGGGTGAGCTCGGGGCGCGCATTTTGTTGCGATAATTAATGAACGCGAAATTTTCACGCTGATATCTCAAGCAGCAAGTTTAAAGTTTTGCCTTTAACGTTCAGCTATTAAATTCGATTATACAATTAATTGAAGGGTTTCTATGCGAATTTGCCGGATAAGAGCGTACATGTCAACATGTTAGGTAACTACGCTTAATTAAACGAATTCCAATGACTTGGTTTGCCCTCCTTTCGCATCATGCAACGAAAGTCAAATTTTAATGAACCTTCACTTTGGCTTTAGATCCGGTTCCAGTGCGATGCTTAATTCGAATACGTTCTATTCAGTTTGACGTTAGTTCAGCATTCCAACAGGCACCTAAGCCAATTTACTTTCACATTCTTGAAATAGGCTAAAAGAAATAAAGCTTAAGCAAGTAGACTTGCAGATACCCCGTATCTCATTAATTGCCTTGCAGTCACTTAAATTATAAGAGCAAATTAAGTCTTTAGTCTGAATTGAAAACTGCTGAAAATCGATATATATCGATATTCGAAAATTTTAAGAACTTATGCAAAAGAACATTCCTAATCGGAAAATTTTGTGATATGCATTTTTTATATCAAATCTTGTAGACTTTTTTGATTTTCCTTGGTAATCAAGATCGATATTTATGATGATGAAGGAACTAAAAATAGTTAAAAAAAAGTAATATATATCGATTTTGACCATGAAGAAAGTTTTTGTGTTCTCTGTACCATATGTTAAACTACCGCAAGTTCTTAAATGAGCCAAAATCGATATTTATCGATACACACTAAATGTCACATTGCTCTTTTTTTACTCTTTGAGAATTTCTAAGCTTTCATTAATCATGTCTAGCTTTAGTTCATGTTAAACATTACTCATTGTCACTTTTATAAACCCTCATGATATGTGTTACAGGGTATTAAAATATACGCACTTTTGCCTAATGATGTCTACGCACAAGTCGTGCGTAAGCCACATGGACACGGCCACTTGGTGGCACCTGTGCGCAATGATGCGGCATACCACAGATACATACGCATATATACGTATATATATATATGTATACATGCATATATATATACATATATACACTTATATATATTTATATATATATATATTTCACTAGGCTTGCCCGAGCAATAATCAGTTTCAGACATGTTAAGTCATTTTGTGGACGCACACACACACGCACAGGTACATGGGAAGGGAGCCTACTGCCACACCCGACTGCTTGTTTATTTGGTTGTTGAATAATTTGCCTGGCATTCAAATGGTTTTTAGCTTCGACTTCCAACTGAGTTGAAATTAATTTGCAGACAAGGCACAAAGGCTAGGTTGCAACTAGGGCTGAGGCATTTGTACTGTTGGTCATGTCCTGGCAGCGTGTTCTTCTAACTGCAGGTGTTCGGATTTTGGTATAATATAAATGCCACATATCTAGAGCTAAGCCTAAGCAGCAGCTGGGGCCACGGTGAAGCAACGCTAGGGAAGTCTACGCATTAACTTAAATGTGTAATTCAATCAATTTAAGAATTATGATAATTCTTATGTGTTTACCAATCGATATTTATCGATAGAAATGGGGAATTATGAATCTAGACTGAATCTATTAACCAAGTTAACTTGCATCACCTAGAGACTAAGGCACAGTTTCATCTGAATTGCTTTATTCGATTAATTAATTGTTTTTAATTAATCAATGAATTAATTAATTATTTTTCTCATTCTCCGGGTATTCACAGCAGCATTCCAACGTTTCAGGGTCATAGACCAGGCCGCGAAATTCGCAAAAGATCTTGAAGATCAGCCGTTCCTTTTTTTCGTAGTAGTCGTCGGCATTGCGATCGAGTGCATCTACCTCCGCCTTGTAGATGAGCAATTGCTGTCGCATTCGCAGAGTCTCCTCATCGCAGTTGAGACTGTCATCGGGATGCGGCTCGAGTGTCAACAGTGACAACATAAACGACAAATACAACTGGAAATTCCAAAGCTATCAGCAGTTGGCTAGCATTCTATCTTGACTAGGCTAAATATACGAATCCAAATTCCAATTAAGTCTCACCTCCTTCTCCAATGGCATATCATGCGTCAATATATTCTCATCGTGTGCATTCTCCACGGCATATGTGATATCCATCTCGATCTCGTTCACGATTTCGATTTCGACTTCGACTTCGATTCAGCGGGTGTGGCTGCCAGTTGGCGACTGTCGCTGTTTGCCTGCAGCTATTCATATTTTATTGCCCTGTTTATGTTTACATTATGTGAGCGAATGTATAGTTGAGTGTGTGCGTATGTGTGAGAGGGTTTAAGCTGAGTTTTGCTAAATATACTCAGTATTTCGATAAACGGCAAGCAGAGTTGTTAGCCTTTTGTCTTCTGTTTCTGTTGAACAATTCCAAAAAATTCTTAAGCTGCACCTGATATATTTAAGTCGCGCATGATAAGTAATCCTTGGGTATGTAATATTCGGCATTTGAACCTTCAACTTTTTTCTTTAGGTATTTATTTACAACTTTATAAATAAATGCGAGAGAGATAGCTAGAAATGTAGTTTTATTTTGTAAAATCTAATCTAGTATATGAATAAAATCATTACTCTTATCTCTGAACCATACACAAATGTATTCTGGCATAAATAAATGATTATATTTGTAGCTTCAAAAGTGTAAAAATAAAGTAAAATGCGGAAAAGTAAAATTTTGAGTACAATTAGATCGCATAACATGCAAGCAGAGCGAGAGAGGCAGTCGAGGCGAACGGAGAAGAAACAGGCCACAGTTGGGAACAGTTGCAGTGTGCAGGGAACCGGGAACAGAAATGGGCATAAAAGTCAAGTTGGTGCAGTAAAAAGTAAATAAAATTGACACCCGCACAAAAGGAGGAAACATAAACCGAAAAAGTGTAAACAAACAACAAGCGGCGCTTAGGCAAATAAACATGGCTAGAGGGCAAGAGGAAGAGAGAGAGCGGGAGAGTGAGGGAGAGAGTGACGGGCAGAGAGGAAGGCAAGTGAGCGGGTAACCACAGACAGGCCAAAGCAAATGCAAAGCGCACGCAAACAATGTGGACGAAAGAGTGAACGAGAGTGTGAGGGAGAGAGGTAGAGAGGAATAGAGCGTAAGTGCAAGCGCGTCCAAGCAGGAGGAAAAGAGCAAGAGCAAGGGGAACAGCAGCAGCCACAGCAACCAAATAAAATGCCAGCTGCAAGGCGAAAAATGCTCGGTTTCGCATTATTTTTTTCTTTTTTATGAATTTTACATTTTGTTTATATGTATTTTTATGGAGATTATATGCAGAGCGCGCTGCAACAGAATACCACTAGCTAAATGTGAATGTGCGAGCCAGATAGTATGTCTCTGGGAGCACGTGCAGCACAGGTTGCACAAAATGGAGGCCATCAAATGTGCAAAGTAATAAAATTTAAGTGCCGGATATTGAAAAAGCTCGTGTACTGATTCCCCTGGCTAATGTTTGTAAATATTACAAAAAAAAACAAGTGAGAGAAAAAAATGTAAAAATATTAAACAGATACGAGAAAGCTAAGATTGAATTTCATATCTTTATTCCAGCTGAAACTAAATTCGAAATATTGAATAGATACGGGAAATGTAAGCTTAACTTTAATATCTTAATTTCACAAAAAAGTCTTGATCAGATCAGAATTTAACGAGAATGTAAAAATATAAATCAAATTAATATTATAACATTAATATTAAACAAGGTGTATAGGTAGAGTTTCTCCAACTGCAATTCAATTCATAAAAAAATAATTGTTTGTTACATTAGTTAAGAACTTGATGCCAAATTAGTTTGATATATAGCTCACATCTTTATTAAAATTTTAAATATTAATTTTCTATTATAGTTTCATTTTTAGAGGGCATATAAGCAAAGCTACTTATAGCTTCATCTTAACATGGCAGTAAGCCAGTTTACTTACAAGCTAAAATAAAAAAAATTGATATCATTGTGAGCTAACGGAAAAACTATTGATGGCGCCACACTACGCACACAGCACACGCACGCGATAAGCTGGGGCAAAGCAGGAAGAAAACAATTTTCGAGAGCTTTTCAAAACGCTTTGGGCGTAAGCTGACATGTGGGAGTTGTGCGATAGGAATCGGGCGAATCGGGTTAAGTCCTCGTCCCAATTGTTGGGCTGCAACAAAAATATAAGGAATTGGCTTATATCAAAGCGACTGTTTGGCTAACAGCGCCAATAGAATTCAAATTCAATTGACGCATAAAAAATCATGTTAGCAGCGAAAGTTTTTTGTTGCTGTCAAAATCATGAATTCTGCAGGCAAAGAAATATTTTTAAAATATAAAAAGAACTTGAAAGAAAATTCTGAAAGTTGTTAAAAGCAAATTGAATTTTTGGTATACCACAAACATATTTTGTAGGGAATAAATATTTTATATATATTTTCTTTATTTATTTGTAATGATAAAGACATTTGATCGGTCATAGAATTATTTAATTTTATAATTTTTAATTTTGCATATCTTTGCTGCTGCTGTTAGCCCTGCCCTTCTACGAGCTACTTCACAGAACAACCTCAATTTGCAATTAGCATTTGAAGCTCTGCATAGATAGACAAGTTATGCGAATCGCTTAGCGATGTCAACGTTAAATGTCGCATGCACAGAAATTTAATTAAGCAATCAATGTATTAATTAAACCACGCGCACAGGTAAAAGTAAATCGAGAGGGCAAAGCTGCGCATCAGATGCTGCCCCAAAGCAGAGCATGAGTAATGAATTTTGTTGTTGTCATGTAAATAAGCAGATGCCACAGCAGCGCGCAAGCACATGCCAAGGCATAATAAGTATGTGTGTGTGTGTGAGTGTGTGTGCGAGAGTCAAGGGTGACAACACGCAGACGGCGCCGACAACGTCGTATCGAAAAATGAAGGAAATGAAATAAATCAAGACTCATTAAGCCGCAGAGCAAGAGCTGGGGGCAAACAACAACAGGGCAACAGACGGAGTGTGTGTGTGTGTGTGTGTCAACTCTGGCTGTGTGTGCGTGTGTGTGAGTGCGTTTAGGTTATGTCAGCGCGCGCTAAAGCAAAGTTGACAGTTGTTGTCAACTTAATCATCGTCAACACCCACACACACACAAATTTCCACCTACTTACACACACACACAGAGACACAGCGCGTTACACTCGCCTAGATTACTTATGCATTGACAAATACCTATCAGGCAGCCGCAACTTGAACTTAATTTCTAGCGATAACTCGACATATTGCCAGCTCATTATGCGACTCTCCGTCTCTCTCTTTTCACCTACATCCATCTGCTTCTTTCACGCATGTGTTTATATGTATATATATTATGACTACGTCAACTTCCGTCTTTTGTTAGTGCTGCTGCTGCCGCTGCTTAATAATAGCAAATTACACAAGTAATTAGTCACGCATTTAATTATTATTTATGGTCTGTTTCTATCTCTTTCTCTGTCTCTGTCTCTATCTCTATCTCTTTCTCTTACAGTAGCTTTTTCTATTTAGCTTGTAATTATCTAGTCCAACGCTTGTTCTCTGCTCTGCTAATATATGCATGCGTCAATAGATAACCCCAAATCGTTTTATGGCTAGGCATCTATGTCCTTATGTGTAGGCAGCTGTCACATTATTCTAGTTAATTTTATGCATGAAGTAAATTTATTTATATATCTCACAGATAAGCAGCAGCTGCTTAAGAATAATGTCTAGACAATATAAATGACGCATAAATCTTAAGTTTATTAATGCTTTTTAGCCTTAAGTTTTCTAATGAGAACTAATCATAAATAAAACGGGATTATTTAGCATATTTAGTTGGATTGGTTGGTTAGAATTTATAGATTTGTTTCCCATAGACTTGGTTGAGAATTGGGAACTATATGAATGTAAATCGAGGGCAATATCTGAACTTGTGTTTAAATTGCTTCGTTTTAATCAGGATTCGATGTGGAAGATGGAACTTATTCATCAAAGTGAACTAGCAGCTAGTTAGTTTAACAAAAAAAATAAATGTATATAAAAAAGTTTGAAATTAATTTAAAAATAACTTTTTAATTTGTATTTATTTGAAAAATAAAATTATAATTTAAAATTTGTAACTTTTTCGAGGATATTTAATTTAATTAAGCTTGCAATATATAATTTTAAAATAAATTGTGAATGTAAACATTAATAAAATATAAATAATATTAATACTAGAACACTAAATATTTATATTAAATAATATGCATTTTAAGTTCGAATTTATATTAAATTTGTAACCAAGTTTGAAGTTTTCTTTTAAATTTATTTATTTTTATGTGTTTATTTATTTAAAATTCTTTAATTGATTTACATTTTTAAACTAAACATTTTCAACTAAATAATAAGCAATGAACACAATTTTTATTTAAGAACTAAAATTTTTAATTTATTTTAATTGTTATTTATTTTTTTTGTTATTTATGCAGCAATTAAATCTACTTGTTTCCCTACTTCTAGACAAACTGAAAACCTGATCGATGATTTATATACTTAACTTAAAGAGAGCTTTGATATATGTTTAGCGAATCGATACATATTCATACTTTGGCAAGCTCACGCAAATCTTTTTGTGTTGCTTGGGTGAAATTGATGTTGTGTTTGAAATCTGGCACCAATTAATAATATGTGCCCAAAATTTCGGACAAATTTGCGATGTATGCGATGCTGGCGCAGCTGTTGCCCAAATTCAAAGGTTAAAGTTGGCATCCAGCTCGGGCTGGTCGCAAAAACTCCAGCTCACGTACTTGGGCCGCAAAACTTTCATCGATTAAAAAGTTTTGCGTGCAACAGAAGTATTATCAGCCTCTTTGTAATTTTTGCTTATTGTTTCTGGTGCGGCTCAGGCTTGTGGCGACAGCTGCGGCCAGATTTCAAGAAGCATATTCGATTATTTGTTTGTTGCATAATAATTGGACGAGACCAGCGGGGCGAAAGCAAATTGAAATGCCAAATCGCATGTGCCACTCGAAACGAAAATCAAATCAGGCCACAAATGTCTTGGCCATGCCAAAAAGCAAAAAGCCAAATCAAAAAGCCGCAAACTTGCTACTGGCAGCAGCTAAAAGAACAGCAGAGAGCCCGAAGTCCAGAAATCTGCAAATAGAATTCGGAATTCGAACTTCGATATTGCTCGCTGCTGATTGCCTGACAACGATTTGCTTGTAAGTTGTTTATTGGTGCGTGCT